GTTGTGGGTGGGCTCCTGGCCATTGGCGGAGTGTGGGGGTGGTCCGGGGTGTGACTTTGCTGGGGCGGGGGGCTGGTTGATCGGACTGGTGCGGCCCGGGCTGGGACTTGGCTGTCTGCTCTTCTCRACCCRAGYCTGAAGGGGCCTACCTCCTGGGTTCGGGCGTGAGCTGCTTTCTGCAGAGGGTAGGTGCATATCCTGGGCCTGGGGGGTATAATGTATGTATACCATACCATACCAACTTTATTTATAAAGCACTTTAAAACTACCACAGCTGATACAAAGTGCTGTACATTAAAACAACATAATAAAAAGTGATTAAAAACGGTTTAAAAACAAAAACATACAATTTAAAACTAAATCCTAAATAAAAAATAATAAATGTATGGGGAATGTGAGTGAATTGTGGCGTCCATCTTGTGTGTCTTTGAATGAGTGGGTGAGAGGATGAGGGTGGGACTGTGTGAGTGTGTTTATGTATGCTTGTATTTATGTCAGGCTGGGACTTGGGCGGCCCRWTCTTCGGGWTCATTTGAGGGCCCACTACTCCCCTGCCGTGCTGTCCTCTGGTGGGTTGTGCCTTGCCCGCCGGCGCGCTGGTGGCTCTTGTTGTCCGGGGCTGGGTGCTCGGGCGTGTGCCGGCTCAGCCCGGTGGCTGCCCGGTGGGGCTGGGTTCCCCCGGTCCTATCGGGTCTTGGCCTGGGGGTGGGTGCGGCCTGGGGGCCCGGGCCTCTGTGTCCGTGCCTGGATCCACTCTGGCGCGGTGGGTACCGGCGGGGCCTGTGAGTTCGTCACTGCTGTGACCACTATGTGGTCGCTGGTGGGGCTCTTCCGGTTCTCTCCGGTGGTCCTCTTTGGGAGGTGGGTGGGCGGCCCTTCCAGTACGGGTGTCCCTGGGGGCTGCGTGCTTGGGGTCCCTCTCGGGGTCTTTGGCACTGGTCTCCCTTATGTTGGCTTCCGGCTTTGCGGGTCGCATCTGTGGTCCCCCCACACTCACTTTGAAACATTCCATTGGAGAGATCCATGCATGGTAAATGGTAAATGGTACTGAACTTATAGAGCACTTTTCAAGTCCCTCCAGACCCCAAAGCGCTTTACACTAACAGACATTCACCCATCACACTCACATTCACACACTGATGATGGCAAACTACACTGTAGCCACAGCTGCCCTGGGGCACACTGACAGAGGTGGGGCTGCCATGCATCGGCGCCACCGGACCCTCTGACCACCATCGGTAGGCAAGGTGGGTGAAGTGTCTTGCCCAAGGACACAACGACTGAGACGGCTGGACGGGGGATCGAACCAGTGACGTTCCAGGATGACTCCCCTAACCACTCCGCCACAGCCGCCCCGTGCCCCATGCATGCTCACAACAGCACACAAACAGGTCTTTACATCCTGGGTTTTCTATTCGGGCACTGACGGAAGGATATGTGCATATGTGAATGTGTATGTATGTGTGCATGTATGTATATGTGTATGTATGTATGTTTGTATGTATGTATATGTATGTAAGTATGTATATGTATGTGTATGTATATGTGTATATGTACGTGTATTTATATGTGTATGCATGTATATGTGTATGTATGTATGTATATATATATATGTGTATATATGTATGTGTATGTATGTATATGTGTATGTATATGTGTATATGTACGTGTATTTATATGTGTATGCAT